TATATGTAAAAATTGAAGTTTAAGTGTTGGATATGTAAACGCATGGAAATTGAGTGAAATGCACCTCATTTTGCTCATCAAAACCATGCGCGAGCTTGACCCTTGAGACTTGCAGGGAACACTTTATAGAGAAGCGCATTAGAGGCATGATGAATGTGCATGATGGTTCAATAATGGTCGACATGCTCGTATGGACCCCTTAGTAGGAATCAATGCTTGTGATTTTGAAGCTCACTGGGATAGGGTGTCGGAGAATTACATCAGACAAAGGAGAGTATTCTTAAAAGTTGTGGTGAGCGGGGAAGTGATCCCTTTTATCTAAAGGGAACTCTTTTCAAACCAGAAATTGTAGTTCATCATGAATGATATCAGCAGAAGTGGCAGAAAGGCGGAGAGGTGCCAGGTGAGCTGCAAGAGAAGGATGAGTGAGAATTGTAATGTCAAGGAGATCGGCGTCCCGTCTTGGAAGATGAATGGTTTCATCACTGTGAGAGAACTTGGTGAGTGGGTATTTCCTATTGAAAGTTGAACTGGTGAGTAAGTTTCTATAGGTTGTGGTTGTCGCTCCTGGTGTAAGATTTGTAGAATTTCTAGTTGAGATGCCTCTATCTTGCATACTCGATTGTCCACAGAAAGACTTGAGGAACCTTTGTCAGTAGGATGACACCTTCCAGAGTTGGAGAATGTAGAGGCCTGATGCCCTTGGCTCCGTGGCTTTCTTCTGGAACAATGGGTTTTGGAGCGGGATGTTTCGTTGTTGCGAGTGTTGAGGCTGTTGCACGTGCATGATGGCCATGCATCAAGTCTCACAAGTACTTTAGATGAGAATGCTCTATTTTTCACAGAGGGTGTCAAACTGACGCGTGCTAGAAAATTTATCGCGGTAGAGTAATTGATTATCGTCTTAACATTACACGAGACCGAGACACACTCAGAAGAAAGAAATAACCATTAGTGACACTAGAGTTTTGCATGAAAAATTGTAAAGAGAAAAAACCTGGGGGCCTGACCCAGTTGTAAAAATCCACTATAAGTTGATGATCACTACAACTACTTCTCCCATAGAAGCCAAAGGTTTTGAATATCTCCCAAGTTACAATGCTGATTTGCCGATAGATTTCTTGCCAGGAATAGGCGACAACTAATAGCAATCAACGGCGGACGACAGGTGGTGGTTGACGACGGTCAGCAGCGACTGACGGTGGTTGACAGTGGTCAACAACGGTCGACTGTGGTCGACGGTGGTAGAAGTGATGTTGGATTTCAACTCCTCAAAGCTTGATCTCCCCTTTCATGAGAGGGGTGAGGCTCTATTTATAGAGTTCTTGATGTAATTAACGTAGAACTGTGAACTACATTGATCGGATGGCTCGGAAGACTTCCCTCAATCATACGTCGTTTGATGGTAATTTGAGTTCCCTAATGATGTCAAAATTGAGCAATCATAGGCTAGTTGGAGTCATCTCGCCGAGATGCTCCATTTGACCATGAACTTACCAGATTCAATATATATTTGACCTCCCAAATATATCTGTAAAACTTTCTAATATGGTTTACTGTCTGGATTGGGCTTGATTTGGTTCAGATTGGACCAATTTTGATATTATTGGGTCCGTCTCGTCAAGCTGGTCAGTTTGACTATAAGATTGTTGAAATCGAAGCTTTGGATGACTCTTAATCAAAGCTTGAATATTTCTTCCTTAAAAGATTGTCTCGAGATTCATGTCATGTCTTGAGATTTGTGTCGGTTGATGACGTATCAAATCTTAAGGGGGACAAACATCATTATGCATTAATGAATTTAAAAAGATAAAATCATATAAGAGCTTAAGGATCTTACTTCGAGAATCCTTCACCCTATGAACACAAACCTCTAAGGATGGGCTTGAGGCACCTTTTATTGGTAGGATTGTATCGGTCTAAGTAAAAAAGAAAAAAAGTGTAGAAGCCTAACATTCCTGATTAGTGTACTAGTTCCTATTATGATGAGATTTGGAATGTAAGGATCTATCATCAATGGTACACTTTGTTTTTCATCGAGTAGGTGTTCAGAGAATGAGCTAGTGATGGGTAGTTCGTTCTTTATACAAATATACTGCAAGTAAGGTATATTATATTTAAACTCTATTATAAAAGTGTCTTATGTCAAAATATTAAAAATTTCATCTAACATATCTTTACCATAAATTATCATTGCGATGATACATCCTATTTTATTTTCTATTTTTGTACTTTTTTTGTGCTATGATGGCACATTTAGTATCTTCTCATATCACTGTACTTTTTTTTTTGTTAATTTAGTCTAAATCCAAGGGTATTTTTGTATCAAATAAGGCCAAGAGCATTCAAAATGATCCATGTGACAAAAACTATGATCCAAGAAAAACTTCATTTTTTACCTTGTCGTTATCACCTTGTTATAGATATATAGGATTATATATGCATAAGTAAAGTTCCGCTAACTTCTTTGTAGTGTCAATTTCACATACATATAAGAGTTTTTATCACTTGAAGTTAGATAATATGCATTCTATATCATTTTGTTTAATATATAACTTATAACATATGCATGCTTTGAATTACTACGTCAATAGATCTTCATAAGCTTGGAAATGATCGTCTTGATCTAAATATGATTGTGAGTTAAGTTAAGTAACTTAAGTATGTATAACTAAGCTATCTCAATCTCCTCTTTTCCGGTCATTATCTTTTACTACTATGAACTGTAATACCTACAAACATTATAATCAATCACATATAAATTATCTATTAAGAAGTTTTGTTCTTTATAGTCAATCTAAAATCATGAGACTAATTTTGGATGATACAATTTATAATAGATGACAAATCATCTAATAACTAAGTTGGGCCAATTATATTAGCAACTAAGCTTTTGCTTAATTATCTAAGATAAAGGATTCATGAAATCATGACTAAGCTATTTGAATCCTTTTATTTTTACATTATACATATATCAATCACTCTTTTATAATTTATTAGCTTTTGGTAATTTAGTGATTTAATGTAGAAAAATAATTACATCACTTGGATACAATGATTCAATCTATGTCTTAAGGACAATCTATTTCAAAACATATCTTATTCTAATGGGATAGCATTCCTTAAAGCATAGTTTCTTAATGTTAAGTCAAAAAATTTAAATACAAGTATGTCATCAGTAATCAAGAGAATTTTCCTAGAGATGTGCTTGATGAATGTACCTTGATTACTTACTTGATCCTGATGATTTGAATTACATGAAATTTCACATTAATTTTACCAAATTTGTTAGTAGTCGCTTTCATTATCTTCTCTTATATAATCTTTTATATAAGAATAAAATTGTTATACCATCACTCGTATGCGTCAATAGCATAAGCATGATTTAGGGTTTAGGGTAGGATTGTATCCAATTTAATAAAGCTTCTACTAACAAACCCTAGGCTAAAAAACATATAGTAAAGTAAAATTCTAGTAGGGCTCTAATTTTTCATCAAAATCTTGTAGATATTATTAGATTGATCACCAAAACTATGATTGATAATGA